TACATATTGTTTTGTCCCTCTTGTTTGTAGCATCTATTATTATGATCATCTTTTTTTTTAAATAAAAAATAAAATTAAGCCATGTGACACGTGTTGCTATTCTAGTGGCGGAAGGAATATATGTTTAGAGGAAAGATTAAGCTTGCCACGTGTCATCTCAACACACGTTTCGTCTCCTGATTGGACCGAAACTTAAAACTTGCTTTGTCATCTTTTTTATTTTTAGTGATTTATAATTATTTTTTCCAACTCGAAATACTATAAGTCTATTATTATCATTTAAACTTATTTAATTTAAGATTAAATGCTAAAAATTTAATTAATAAACTCAAAAATTAAAAAATTTATAGATAATATTGAATGTTCAATAAATTAAATATATTTTTTAACGTAATAAAATAACTAAAATAAATATATTTCATGTACGACTTTTTTTTAAATTAATTAAATATTAAAAAAAAATATTGCTGCAGTTGGAGTTCCCAGACAAAGGGGAGAGAGAGGGGTGGGATTAAATAGGTGGCAAGTGAAGGAAATGCCAAGTCAGCATTTGGGTATCCACGTGTACGTGATTACGTGTTGCCTATTTGGCTCTTTTTGGGAAACTTTTTGGGGTAAAGGAACTGCCTCCCTTTTGTACTTGAATTCAGACTCTGCCTTCTGTTAATTAAAATTTGTATTTTTTAATTTTAATAAATATTATATTGCATATTCTAGACATTTTTTTTAAACCCAACTCAATTATTTTAAGTAAATAAAAATGTATTTTTAAAAGTTAATTATAGTTGTTCGAATGCAGGTATATCGAACCCCAATAAAATGTTATTCGAGAAAGGGTAGGAGAATGCAAAAGATCGTGATCAAAGGAACTGTTAGTTGCATTGGAAGACCATTATCGCTTATAACAACTCAAGCTCACCATTAATAGATAGTGTTTGCTTTGGCTCATTACGTATCGTCGTCAGCCTCACGATTCTAAAACGCGTATGTTAGGGAGATGTTTCCACACCCTTGTAAAGAATGTTTCGTTCTCCTCTCCAACCGATGTGGGATCTCACAACTTCAAACATATTACTCTAGATTTTTCATAGACATTTTCTTTCGTTTATTGCAAACTCGGTACGCTCAATACATTATTTTCAAATTTGATTCAAGTGAGGTACTATGTACAAAGTGTAGTTATTTTTTGAAATTGTATATTTTCATTCTTCCACTTTAAAATGACATGTTGATGTATGTGGGTAACAAACCTGAGTCAATCTAGGGTTTTAGAAAGTCTGAGTCGTTACACAAGTATAAATGACGAACACAGCAACAATGAACACAGTAACAACACAAGTATAAATGTCTTATTTTAATCGAAACGGTACGATATAATAAGTTCATACATGGATATAATATTGATTTTGCAACACATTCAGAAATGAGACAATATAATAATGGTGTTCTTAACGAATCATAGGGTTAAGTAAGGTGAGGCTTTGATTTGTTTAAAGCAGCTAAGTTGTGGGTTTGAGAGGGTAATTTGACGCAGGTGGCTAACCCAATGACTTGAAGGAACTTAATGATATACCAACCAAAGTCAATCTGCCACCATTCATGCCCATGCCTCGCTGAATACTCGAACGCGTGGTGGTTGTTGTGCCATCCTTCTCCAAACGTTATCAAAGCTACCATCCTGAAACAAAAACATACAAATTTGATCAAATGTAACGATCAAAGTCCACCGCTAATCGATATTGTGCTCTTTGGACTTTCTGTTCTCCTGCCAACCCAACGTGGGATCTCACAATCCCACCCCCTTTAGGGTCCAGCGTATAAGGAATGTACTGTTCTCCTCTCCATCCGATGTGGATCTCGCAATCCACCTCCGTTGGGGTCCAATGTCCTTCGCTGACACTCGTTCCTTTCTTCAATCGATGTGGGACCCCCACCAAATCCACCCTATTCGAGGATCAGCCTCTTTGCTGGCACATCCCAGTATTGGCTTTGATACCATTTGTAATGATCCAAGCTCACCACTAGCACATATTGTCCTCTTTGAGCTTTCCCTTTCGTGATTTCTCTCAAGATTTTTAAAATGCATTTTCTAGGAAAAGATTTTCACACTCTTATAAAAAATGCTTCATTTTCCTCCCCAACAGAGGTGGGATCTCATACTTCTCAAGATTTTTAAAACGCGTTTGCTACAGAGAGGTTTCCACACCCACATAAAGAATGTTTCGTTCTCTTCTCCAAACAACATGTGATCTCGTAAAAAAGTTCTTCACGTGCAAATGGTAAAAAAGAGAGAAGAAAATTACCAATTGTTCTTCGATAAATCGCCCGTATTCCATGGTTGCTTTCCCCAGATATGGCATACTGAATTGACCATAGATGTTACGTGCAAGCTCAATACGAACCTCACGCACTATGAATAGTTCAATCAACACAAAACCCTAATCAATTTGGAGGTTAATCAATACTTATAATTATAATCAAACCATAGTTAGATTAATTATACCATTCCCCATATGACATAAGGGACTCCTCCAATAGCAAACAGCAACACTGCCAGAGCCAATGGATGAAGCCAATAGGTTTTATGCATAAACCTATAGAACCATTGTTTCTCCAAGTCTCTGACATTGTCTGGATTTGCATACTTTATAAAGAACATAAACTTGTTTCTTTCCACCTTTTCAAAGTTGTTAAAATACTTCGGACACACTTTTCTAGTTAAATTATACGAATCGAAAAACCACGTCATTTGACTAAACCAAAATCCGTATATCGGACTATGTGGGTCTCGTTCCGTATCGACGTATCGATGATGACACCTGTGTGTGCTCACCCAATTGATCGGATCACCCTAAAAAAACAACAAATGGTTATCAAACATGGTATTCGATAGAATATGATGCAGAGGTTGACAATGTCGAACCTGAATTGCATGAGCGGCACAATAAGCAAGAAAATACTCGAGCCATTTGGGAAGTTTGAAGGCTCGATGTGCAAGATTTCTATGATACGAAACACTAATGGCCATGCCGGTTAGATTTCCTAATATGATAGTAAGAAAGAAACAAGTCCAAGTGAAATAGAAGGGTGCCAAAATACAAAGTAGATGCAAGAGGAGAATGTAGGAAGCATTATTTCTATCGAGCTTCGTCCACCTTTTCCTCGTAAAGAGCATTGGAGGAGATTTCATCATGTTCTTTGGCTTTTTTGGTATTGTTTAGGCTTCATATATGTGTGTATTTATAGTTGTGAAGAACATACATTAACTTAGTTTATTGATCCCAAAATCTTCAACCATTTCCATTGCAACATTTATGAACTTGCAAGCACCAACACTATACACCCTTACTTATTTTCGGTTAAAGTTGGTTGAACGTAGTTCCTTATTTATTACCCACGTTGATTTTTTGGGTTAAATTATAAATTTAGTTTGTATTTGATATGTTCTTCAACTTTGTTCGATGTCTGTTTAGATCTTTTTAATGTTAGCATTAAATTGCTCTCAATCCCTAGAGACCTATAGTTGGATAAGTCTTTATTTGAATAAATCTTTTGTTGCTTGGTTTGAGGTTTGGAGTTAGTATCGTTGGAATGCCTCAGGGCTAAGTTGGATGGTTGGTTGCTGCATATGATCGATATGTGATTGATGTTATGTATGGTTGTGGGACCTCATGCATGTGTGATTGTTGAAATCATAAAATACTCGTATTTTGAGATTCCACATCAGTGGGGAGGAGAACGAAATACCTTTTATAAGGGTGTGGAAATCTCTCCCTAGCAGATGCGTTTTAAAAACTTTGAAGGGAAACTCGAAAGGAAAAGCACAAAGCGGACAATATCTGGTAGCAGTAGACTTGGGCCTTACATATATAGTTTGAGATTCTACATGCATGAAAGTGATGAATGTAGGATCGGTTTGTGTGAAAATAATACTCACTTATGTATGAAAATGATGCATACGCAAACAGGATTAGGAAGTATATATATATTTGATGATCCCTTAGTGAGTTTTGTGTGTATGAAAGTGATGTTCGTAGAACTATGTACATCTCGAGGTTTAGAAAAGAATTAGAATTCAATACTAAATTTTAGGGTGAATATCTAAAGCTCGGATCAAAAATACATCCTAGGTGACCCACGTTTATTACAAGACCATGATTTTTTTTATTAAGGAAAAAAAAACTGACAATGATCCATTTAATATCCGTTTCCTAAGTCGGTAACTGAACACATTAAGCCAAATTCAATGAATATGAAAATAATAATAATAATAATAATTGATGTCTTTATGGCCGTAAAAATAGTTAAAGATTATAGATTTAAATATGACAAATAAAAAATAAAAAAATTTAAATTAAAATTTTGAATGTTTCATTTACTTCTCCACTCAAATCTCACAGTTTCGATCATTACTGTTAAGGATATTTAGTAATAAATTATACTTTCCCGTATATATTATATTTGATATTTTATTATAAGGCAAATATCTAATATTTACCTTATTACTATAGATATCTTTCCATTTATTGTTATTTCCATTTATTACTATTTCCATATCCTTGTAATTTATTTGATTATAAATAAAATAACTTTCACACCATTTAGGTGCGGTGGATTAATCAAACATTCACAATTACCCTACATTTTTTCTAGACATTTTCTTTCATTTGTTTTGCAAAATTGATACACGGTTTATGGAGATTCGGGTGGGATACTCGATACAAAGTGCAGTTATTTTTTTGAAACATATGAGGTTGCCTGTGGCATATTTTTGTTCTTTCACTTCAAAATGACACCTTCATGTAAATAAGTAACAAACGAGAGTCGAACTAGAGTTTTAAAAAATCATGTCGTTACTTTTATTGGTGATTTTCATAAAAATTACTAATCATTAATTATTTTAGCGGTTGTTGTCAAACATACTAAGAATTTCGATCTATTTAGAACCAACACAATAAAAACACAAATATAAGTGTCTGATCCTAATCGAAACAGGTAGGGTACAATAAGTTCATATATTGATATAATATTGATTTTGCAACACATTCTGAAATGAGACAATATAATAATGGTGTTCTTAATGAATCATAGGGTTAAGTAAGGTGAGGTTTTGATTTGTTTAAGGCAGCCAGCTTCTGGGTTTGAGAGGGTAATTTGACGCAGGTGGCTAACCCAATGACTTGAAGGAACTTAATGACATACCAACCATAATCAATCTCCCACCATTCATGCCCATGCCTTGCTGAATACTCGAAGGCGTGGTGGTTGTTGTGCCATCCTTCTCCGAACGTTATCAAAGCTACCATCCTGAAAAAACGTACGAATTTGATCAGATGTAACGATTCAAACCTACCGCTAATAGATATTGTCCTCCTTGGACTTGCTGTTCTCCTACTAACTCGATGGGGGATCTCACAATCCACCCCCTTCAAGATCCAGCGTATAAAGAATGTTTTGTTCTCCTCTCTACTCGATGTGGGATCTCACAATCCACCTCCGTTGGGGTCGAGTGTCCTTCGCTGACACTCATTCCTTTCTCAAATCGATATGGGACCCCACCAAATCCACCCCCTTCGAGGATCATCCTCTTTGCTGGCACATCTCAGTATCTGGCTTTGATATCATTTGTAACGATACAAGCTCATCACTAGCACATATTGTCCTCTTTGGGCTTTCCCTTTTGGGCTTCCTCTTAACGTTTTTAAAATGCATTTGCTAGGAAGAGATTTCCACACTCTTATAAAAAAATGCTTTGTTTTCTTCCCCAACAGAGGTGAGATCTCACACTTCTCAAGATTTTTAAAACGCGTATGCTACAGAGAGGTTTCCACACCCACATAAAGAATGTTTCATTCTCCTCTCCAATCGATGCGGGATCTCATAAAAAAGTTCTTCACGTACAAATGGTAAAAAACAAGAGAAGAAAATTACCAATTGTTCCTCGATAAATCGCCCGTATTCCATGGTTGCGTTCCCCAAATATGGCAAACCGAATTGACCATAGATGTTATATGCAAGCTCAATACGAACCTCACGCACTATAAATAGTTCAATCAACACAAAACCCGAATCAATTTGGAGGTTAATCAATACTTATAATCATAATCAAACCATGCTTAGATTAATTATACCATTCCCCATATGACATAAGGAACTCCTCCAACAGCATACAGCAACCCTGCCAGAGCCAATGGATGAAGCCAATAGGTTTTACGCATAAACCTATAGAACCATTGTTTCTCCAAGTCCCTGACATTGTCTGGATATCCATGCTTCATGAAGAACATAAACATGTTTCTTTCCACCTTTTCAAAGTTCTTAAAATAGTTCGGACACACTTTTCTAGTCAAGTTATACGAATCAAAAAACCACGTCATTTGACTAAACCAAAATCCATATATCGGACTATGTGGGTCTCGTTCCGTATCGACGTATCGATGATGACACCTGTGTGTGCTCACCCAATCAATCGGATCACCCTAGAAAACAACAAATGGTTATCAAGCATAGTATTAGATAGAATATGATGTAGAGGTTGGCAATGTCGAACCTGAATTGCATGAGCAGCACAATAAGCAAGGGAATACTCGAGCCATTTGGGAAGTTTGAAGGCTCGATGTGCAAGGTTTCTATGATACGAAACACTAATGGCCATGCCGGTTAGATTGGCTAATATGATAGTAAGAAAGAAAGAAGTCCAAGTGAAATAGAAGGGTGCCAAAATACAAAGTAGATGCAAAAGGAGAAAGTAAGAAGCAACATTTCTATCGAATTTGGTCCATTTCTTCCTCGTAAAGAGCATTGGAGGAGATTGCACCATGTTTGGATGTTGTTTGGATGCTTCCATTAGAGGTGTTTTTTTTTTTGTTGTTCTTGATGCTATTGTATGTGTATTTATAGTTGTGAAGAACATAAATATGAAGTTATAATGCCATTTTTCAGAACATTTATGAATTGACATGCACCAAAACACTACACCCTTACTTTATTTCCTGCTAAAAGTGGTTGAACGGCCTCCCTAATTTATTACTCAAGTAACTTTTTTTTTTCTTTTTTACTTTTAAAGGTAGGTGGATTTTTTAAATGTGAAATTGATTTCTTATTGACTTTTTAACAGGGCGTGGAAACTTCTCTTTAATAGATGCGTTATAAAACTGTGAGAGTGACGACGATACATAAAGAGTTAAATCTGACAACATCTACTAGCGTTAGGCTTTAGTTGTTACAAATGTTATCAAAGTCAGACATTGAGCGGTGTGCCAGCGATGGCATCGGGCCCTAAGGAGGGGGGGGATTGTGAGATCTCACATTGGTTGAAGAGGGAAACGAAACATTACTTATAAAGGAGTGGAATCTCCCCCTAGATGACGCGTTTTAAAACTGTGAGGCTGACTGTGATACGTAATGGGCCAAAGCAGATAATATCTACTGATGGAGACAATATCATCTAATGGTGGGTCTGGACTTTGGTTGTTATAAATGTTATCAGAGTCAGACATCGAACGGTGTGCCAACGATGACATCGGGCCCTAAGAAGGTGAATTGTGAGATCTCACATTGGTTGGAGAGATGACGCATTTTAAAATCGTGAGGCTGACTGTGATATGTAATGGGTCATAGCAGATAATATCTACTAATGGAGACAATATCAGCTAGTAGTGGATATGGGCTTTGGTTGTTATAAATGTTATCAGAGTCAAACATCGGGCGGTGTGCCAACATGACGTCGGACCCTAAGGGGGTGGATTGTGAGATCTCACATTGGTTGGGGAGGAAAACGAAATATTACTTATAAAGGTGTGGAAATCTCCCCCTAAGATGACACATTTTAAAATCGTGAGGCTGACTATGATACATAATGGGTCAAAGCAGATAATATCTATCGATAGAGACAATATCGACTAATGGTGGGTCTGAGCTGTTACAAATGGTATCAGAGTCAAACATCGAGCAGTATGCGAGCGAAGACACTAGGCTAGTGGTGAACTTAGGTTGTTACGTAAATCTTCCATAACACACGATCCGAAGATTTAGTGTTAATATTGTGATTTTTGTTTATAGCTGGATTAAGTTAAATATAAGTGTAATGAGGAAATCAAATTATCCATTAGAATGTCTTAGTACTAGGTTATATGATTGGTTGTTGTACGATAGCGATGTGTTTTCCTGAAATAACAAGACATTATGTATGATAGTCATGTGTATTGTGAAAAACGTCTCGTGTAAGAAATATTTTGTATTGTATAATGTTTTCAACACGTCTACTAGACGTTTTTTTATAATATTTAATTTATGTTCTTTTATGTTCGAGGTTATACCAGACAAAATTAAAATCACTTTTAAATTTTAAGGGTATATTAAACAAAATTTTTAAAAAAAATAATACTATTGGATCACTAAATTTATAATTTAATTAAAAACAAAATCATATTCGTTTTTTTTTAAAATATATATATTATGTTTAAAAATTATTTTATTCTTTAAAAATTATTTATCTTTAACCATTATAATTTCAAATTTTCAAATTTTTTATTTTAAAAAACTGTGAAATGAATACAAAACAACGAATTTATTATTTATTTGGCGGCGGACAACCGTGGTGTCGGAAGGGCCATGACCCATACTATCATTAATTAAACAATTAATTATTACAATAAAAAAAATTTTAAAAAAATCATTTTCAACCATTTTTTATACACTTATTTATTCATTCACTAATTTTCAATTTGAATATATTTATCTCAAATTTATGAATAAAATAAATCTTAAAACAACCATTTTGTTGTTTCATTATTCATATTTTTTAATTAAATATGGGTGTTTTTTTTTAATTATATATATATATATATATATATATATATAGGATTGTTATAAAAATAAAATAAAATAATATATTAAGTTTACGAATGTCACGCTGTCGTAAAACAATTATAACAGTTACTCATTTAATATCACGTTAATGAGGTGCTAAGTCGGGTTATGTCCCAAAGCATTCCAACACGATTATATCAATAAAGATGACTGTTCCCACTTATATCTCGTAGATCTCTCGTTTTTCTTACCTGTGAATGATTATTTTGGAAGAAGAACGTATATCAAACTGGTTGAAATTTTTCCTCTACGAAAACAAGATTTTACACAACGAAGGTGACATGAACATACATATAATAGAGTTCGTTTGAATGTGGACCATCGAAAATACGTACCCTATAAATTAGCTTGTGATATTAATATTCATGAATTGATAGCTTCTCTCATTGTTTGCCAACTTGACCAAGGGTTCAATCAAGAGCTATATAGATATCATATCAACCTACCCATCTATAACCTATTGATTTAATGACTTCCCATTTAAATAGTCATATCACAGTCGAACTAATCGAACTAATGTGTTACTCAAGCTATAATATTCGTTACGACCAAGCTAGAGTAATGCACTAAATATATAACCAAGTTTGAAATCTCGGTTTCATGTCGTAATTAATACATTTAATAGAGCATGAAACCTCAACTACTTAGTTTGTTATACAAATCACGTGAGATCTCCATGTCGGTTGGAGAGAAAAACGAAGTATTTCTTACAAGGGTGTGAAAATCTCTCTGTGAGGTTGACACTGATACAAACGGACAATATCTACTAGAGGTGGGTTTAGGTTGTTACAAATGGTATTAGAGTCAGGCTCTAGACTATATACCAGAGGAAACGCTGGGCCTCTGTGAGGTCCCACATCTATTGGAGAGGAGAACGAAGCATTTAGCGGTGGGTTTGAGTTGTTACAAACATCAAATTCATGTCACAATCAAAATATTGTGTTTCTCAAGCTAAAATGTTCGTTTATGGGTCATGCTACATTAATCCTCTTAAACAAAAATTGGTAACCTCAACTCCTTAGTCATTTGACATCATTAATATAACATTGGATATAAAATCTATCATTATCTATAGCTTATTAATGACTTTAGCTAAATATTCATGCACATTAATATTTTCGAGGGTCACGCTACATTAATAAGGAGAATAAAATAGCTTATAATCTCGGCTCCTTAGTTCGAGATATACACTCTAACTCGAACGATTTGACATGTTAGTCTAAATTGTCAATTTAAATATTGTTTATGGGATGCTTAATTCATTCTCGTTATGACAACAATTTTAAGAAGTTTTGAGTCGTTAGTCCACATGTTACACATCTTCCATCGTAATAATGAGAAATAAGTATATGCATGTGAATTTGTCAAGTCGTTGTTCCGTGAATATTACTCACTTTAAGTTCAATCCTTTTGTTGGTAGATACGACATGTTCATACAGTCGAGTCTCTCAAACAGATCTCTTTGTAGCAATGGATAGGGATGGACCAGCTTCATGGGTTTGGTACTTTGGATATGGGCATGGTGGCTGATATGAGTTATGAATCTTTCGTTCAGCAGAGTAGCCATTAAATGAGATCTGGTAGCTAAATGAATGCTCAAATTGCTTGTAGTTTGAAATATACGTAAACTCACGGCTAACAGATATTGTCGCTTTGGTTTGTTATGTATCGCTATCAACCTTTCGATTTTAAAATGCATCTGTCAGGGAAGTTTTCACACTCATATAAAGAATGTTTTGTTCCCCTCTATCACCGATGTGGGTTCTCACAATCCACTCCCTTCGAGGCCCAGTAAAGAATGTTTTGTTCCCTTCTCCAACCGATGGAGATCTTATAATCCACCCTCCTTAGGGGTCCAACGTCCTTACTGGCACATAGTCCAATGACTGCCTTTGATACCATTTGAAATGACTCAAACCTGCTGCTAGCAGATATTGTCCACTTTAGCCTAGTACATATCGTCATCAGCCTCACGGTTTTAAAACCCTTGATAGGGAGAGGTTTCTACGCTTTTATAAGAAATGTTTTGTTCTCCTCTCCCACCAAGGTAAGATCTCAATCTTTAGAATGGTAATTTTGTGTCTTATTTATTGAGCTATATCAACAAGATACACCTTCTTTTTTTTTTCGATACTAAGCTCATTCTTTTAATCTGACATTCATTAATCCATTTCTTCATCTACTTCCATTATTTTCCCAATTCTCTCTCTTACATCAATTTTAGGTTTGACCATATGTTTCTCTTTCTTTGCATTAATGTTCTTCTTCCTTCTCTTACAAGATCTTAATTTTATTTAAGATAATTCAAATTAAATCTCTAAAATATTTGTGTTTAATATTGTATATAAGAGGTAAAGAACGCACCTCCAAACCATGCTCACCCTAGTCCCTTCTTAGAGGTGTCGCTATATATTACGAATCCTCCTGCGCTCTCTAGTATTGTGAGTATTGGAGCCGACACTGACCTCTATTTTAAATCATAAAAACTTCCCTCACATGTACCGCTCCAAACAAATGGCATACCCTTCTTCGTTTACTGTGTAAGAGGCTAAGCTATTCTAGCAAAGTCTTGAACGAACTATCAATAGTATCCTACTAACCCTAGAAAACTGCACACCTCAATAACTGTGATTGGGCAGATCCCACTTAGCAATTGCTTCAATCTTGGTGGGGTTTACTGTGATACCATCTTTTGACACCATGTGTCCTAAAAACGAGACTTGTCATAGCCAAAATTCACATTTGTCTCACAAGAAGACCTAGTTATCTATCTCAAGTCTCAAAGTGTGTGCATGCACCTAATTTTCTATTTTTCAGGTCACTTCATCCCGTTTCACAATCGAACTTATGCATATCAACCAATATCATATCCGTGCATCCAACGCTAAAATACACTTGGTATTGTTCAAATGAAGTTTAAAGCTTGTTTCAAACAAATGACAACACTTGCTACAAAACACACTCAAAAAACAAAAC